GGGGGCCCAGTGAATTAGCCCGAGGAGCAGGAGGCCCCAAGGTTACTGACCGCTCCAGGTCCTTAGAGATCATTCCAGCAATTAACCTGCCGCTCCAACTGCTGGTGTAGCCCCGGGCCCAGTGAGTCCAGGAAGGTTGAACTTGTAGTCCACAACTGTCATTGGTCTCCCCGGTGGTTTGGACTGTTTGCTTGCCTTAGAAGTCCCTTAGCATTACGAAGCATTTGGCCGGTCCCCTCCACCTTGCCTCTCTTCTTGAAAATTCTCCTCCTTGCATCATGACGTGTTCAACATTCCTCTCTGATTTTCCCTGCACGGTGGACCTCAAACGCTTGAGTTAAAGCATCGTGCATTGCACCAGGTTATTAAAGTACTCTTGGGGCCTGCTTTGAAACGTGACCAAGTGCGGGCAGAGACCGATGGGCATGCCAGTGACAACTGTGGCTGCCCTGAGCTTTCCAAGAGAATACATCCGGGAAGCCAGTGGCGGTCCGGGCCGAGGAAGGCCAGCCTTACTACGATCCCGTAGTTGGCCTGCCCTGGAAGAGAGGAAAGCCACCGTGATGTGTGGCGATGTCCCCGACCTAAGAGGCAAAACTACAGCGGCCACTCACTGCTCACCACAGAACGCCAGCCACTCTTTGCTCTCGGCTGGAAAGTGGGCAAAGGGCAAAAAGAAGAAATCTCAAGGCAGAATGAGAGTGACTTTGTGACCAATGTCTCCACTCCCTGATTGGGTAACAGGGCCCCTAGGGACTCCTCAGAGCTTGATGTGGAGTGTCCTGCACACTTGGGTGTTCTCCCATGAGATGTTGTTCAGGTCCCTACAGGCGCACTACATGCCACCGAATAGTGCCGGAGAAGGGCCGGAGACATCCCAAAGGCTGGACTGGGGGTCTCAGAGAGGCAGCTTATCTAGTAGAGAGAATCCTCCAGGCACCTGCCTTCTCTTCCCACAATGGAGGGATTGCTGAGATGGAGTTATGAGTGTGTGAATGTTGAGGAGAGGAACCCTGGGAGGAAGGGGTGTGTGTGTGTGTACACACTGATTTCTTCTTCAAAGAAGAAAAGCCCAGCTTGTTAGAGTCTCTGGGTGGCCCACCTAAGTCCGTTTAATATTTTGAAATATCAAAGAGAATAGGCCTCTTTGAGGTGCTGAAATTTGAGCAGATTGAAAGTGGACCTTGCGGGATGGCGGGGTTAGCTTTTCCTGCAGTTTGAGGCCAACCCTGAAATGCGTCGAATGGGGTCTGTGGTCTCCATCAGACTGCCTCCATTCAGGTCCACAGTTGGATTTTGAAGTTAGGTGAAGATACTGCCCACAGAGCACCCTGGAGGAGAGAGAAGCACACTTCTTTATCTCGTCATTCTGTGAAGCGAACATTCTTACAGCCGCCCGATAGGATGGGGGAGAATCGCTGCTGTCGGTCTCCAAGGCTAACACTTTACAGGTGTAGAAAGTCACGTCTTCGATTATCCCCTGTTCATTGCCAGAGTTCCATGCTGTCGGTGGGAAGCTGCTATTTCGTTTGAGAACTTGAGCAAGTCCAGATTCCAGTTTGGATTTACGTGTTATAGCCCCTCAGCCTCTGGAGGGTGGTCGCAAACATCCCTGCTAAAGAAGGTCCTCGCCCAACCTTCACCTGGATACGTCGGTTTCCCCACAAAAGGGGCCGGTTCTTTATTCGTCACGCACTCCCATGTTGTCGGTGCCGACGCACAGCGACCCTACAGGACAGAGCAGCACTGCCCCTGTGGGTGCCCCGGACGGTCGCTCTCTACAGGAGTGAAAAGCCTCATCTTTCTCCCGTGAAGTAGCTGGCTCCGAACGGCCGGCCTGTGATTAGCAGCTCCGTGCATAAACCCACCAGGGCTCCTCCTTTCGTCACAGGACAGAGGAATCTCAGGGTACGGGTTTGAATGAGTTACTTTTTGAAAAGGGCACTGGCGTGGCATAGTCGTGAAGTGCTCAGCTGCTAACCAAAAGCAAGGTTAGTGGTTCAAACCCAACCGGCAGCTGTTCAGGCAGGCTTGGCAAAGCTCCTTCGATGCAAATAACAGACAAAAAAACCCTGTAGGGTAATTCTGCCCGATTGGTCACTGCTCCCATGGACAAGTGATTGGAAGGGCCCTGGGATGGTCAGTGACCTCTTTCTAGGTCAGTGGTTCTCAGCCTGCCTCATGCCTCGGCCCTTTCATACTGTTCCTCATGTGGTGCTGACCCCCCCAACCATAAAATTATTTTCGTTGCTCCTTCATCACTATCATTTTGCTACTGTGATGAATCGGGGCGACCCCTGTAAAAGGGTCGCTCGACCCCCAAAGGGGTCGCGACCCACAGGTTGAGAACCACTGTTCTAGGTGTTATCAGTTACTGACTCCCAGTGCACCTGCCCCCCACCCCCATGCTTGTCAGAGTATAAAGGTGCTCCATCAGATTTTCAATTGCTGATGTTTTCATCATAGCTGAACTAGATGACCAGGTTGTCCAAGACACCTCCGCGTGACCTTGAATCTCGAACCTTTAGGTTAGAAGCCAAGCCCATTAACTGTTTTAACTGTTGATACCACCTAGAGACACCCTTCAGAGCGGGAGGCCATTGTAACGAGTGTGGTTTGTTTGTTTGTTTTTTCTTCTTTGTATTAAGATCAGGCCTTTGTGACACTGACCACAAACGATGCGTACGCCAAAGGAGCCCTGGTGCTGGGCTCGTCCCTGAAACAGCACAGGACCACCAGGAAGCTGGCCGTGCTCACCACCCCGCAGGTCTCAGACTCCATGAGGTGAGGAGCTGGCTGCCTGTCCGTGTGCAGGTCCCTGGCTTGTCTGTCTTCTGTGTGTGGCATCAGCCTGCATTGAGGCCTGGTGCGTTCCGGGGGTGGATCAGCAAAGCCGAGACAGATGAGAGTTGTCAACAGAAGAATTCCCAGGTCTAAAACCTTTTCCTAGCTTTTGAGGATACATTCCAGCCCAGGCTTTGTAGCTCCCTTCCGAGAGGGGGGATGTTCTGGCCCAAACTCTTCCTGATTCCAACTCAGAGTGGAAGAAAGAGGACTCCTTCCTAAGTCAGCCTTCTCTGGGCGTCTGGGTGAGTGTGTCCACCCCCCTGTGCCTTGGTGAAATGCAGCTCTCTGTGGTCACACTTCACCGGGGTCCTCAAATAGAGAGCCACCCCAGAAGGCAGCAGGGCCTACTGCGTGTCCTCTTTCCAACCAGGACAAACCCTTCAGGTGACTTAAAAGTGAAGAAGCCCTGTGCCCACTGCCCGATGACATCGGTCACTTCGGGCTCTTGAAGGCTTGGTTCAGGACACAACACATTGGACTCCAGTCCAGCCTGCAGCACAAAGCTGCTCTCTTTCACTGGTTGGATGCTGGTTCCCAAGATCTGAATAAGTGATCCGGTCCCTAATACTAACTTTAAAATACCTGGGCACACTCACACCTCTGGATTGTGTTGAGTTCTGTGTTTTCCTGACCTTTTTAAACGTGGAAAATGCCCTTTGGGGAACTTTAAAAAAAAAAAAAAAAGCATATGCCAGGGGGGCCTGAAAAGGAGCATTCTATAAAAACATGTGCATTATCTTCACACTACCAACCTTGTTCCTACGTGTAGGCCAAGTTGATGCTGAAACAGGCGCCTCCTTGTGCATGCTTCCTTGGCCACAGCCCCAGAGTCAGCACACAAGCCGTCCGACCCAGTGTGACGTTTCCCAGCCTGATGTACACAGGGCTGCAGTCCGACCCAGTGTGACGTTTCCCAGCCT